AGACTGACCACAGTCTGTCCAGGTTGGGAAAGATGATAAAGCAGTTAATCTAAAATGCCCGATTTTAAATTAAAATGGAACAAAAACTCCCAAATCCACAAAAGCTGAGACTTCTCTCTATATGATCAATATGGCTTGACATTAGATGTTCAAATTAGTCTGTTTTCCTATCATTGATTTCTCCACTGGTCATTTTTCTTATGACAAAAGTGAATTGCATATACTCCTAACCAGATTACCCTAGATAGAAGTGAAAACACATGTATATATTCTCCCCTCCCCACAAAAAAAATAGTTTGCAAAATATACTGTACTTTTCCAGCTGTTTCTCAATACTGTTATATGAAGATTATGAAATCAGGCTTTGACTTAAGATATTAGAAATATTTTTTTTAATATCCTTTTTAATTAACTATATATTTTTCTCATATTTACATTATCTGCTGTTCAACCTAATTAACCAAAATTATAGAGAAAAAGAGTAAGTTACAGTAGAACAACTCTAATTAAACTGATTAAAATCAAATTCATTAACAATAGTACAAACGATTCCCAGAATCTTCTAATTTGCAAGCCGATCTAAAATATAATGCGCTACTTTTGATACATGATTGCTTCCTCATTACAGATAGCAGAAGTAAATTAAAGTATTAATATCAATGCAAGTGAGAGACAAACAAAACAAAAAGTTTTTTAGTATAGTATTCCCTGATCACTGCCACTTTGAAAGCATAGTGAAACAGTAGATACTTTTACATTCATATCATGGTCAGTAGTACAGATATTTAGAAATTCATGTAACTTTGAGGATAGAAGGAATCTACACACAGAAACTACCCAGCCAAAAGCTGTTTGGTCATGTTACTTAGGCATAGAGTATAGATCAGTGATGGCTAAACCTAGGGCATAACCCTGTGCCCACACCCATAATGCAATGTGCCCCCTGCATGCTTGTGAAAACACCACCATTTTGGGCCTAGCAGGCCTCCCTGAAGCCTTCTGGGACCAAAACAGGCCATGGGGCGCCACACACACCCTTGCCCCGTTCAGGCCTTCCTGAGGCCTCCTGAACCACCCCACATGCTCCCCCACTGCCTGTGCATGCATGTGCAATCCCCCTGCACCCCACTCATGTGCACGTCTCCCGCCTGCGCAGCAGAGACTCAAAAATCAGCTGACTGGCAGTAGGCATGCGCACGCATGCGTAGTAGGGCTAAATTGAGCAACAACTCATGTGCCCACAGAGAGGGCTGCGTGCCATAGGTTCGCCATCACGGGTATAGAGATTAGGTGAGATTATCACTGTCTTTCATATGACTGGAGTTGGGTATGCCTTTGACTGTCATTGCACTTAGTTGTCTTACCATATTTGGCTTAATTAGGTGTCAATCAACACATGCACTGTCCAGAGTTGTAATTAGGAGATGGGCAGCTATATAAATTGAAGATGAAACAAAAAACAACTTCATTTGATGCACAATCTCTTAGAAATAACGTATTCATTTAGGCACACTAAATAATATTGTTGATCTAAGGAAGCTATGCACAGGATGAAAATTAGTTTCTGATATAGTAATTCTGAAAGCAGCATCTTTCATCTTTGTTTAATTTGAAATATTTCTGCTTTAACTTGGAGTGTGAAGCAAAATGTTTATTTGGAAGTATGACTCCTTGTGTTTATAAACTTTCATTGATCTGCAGAATTGGAAAACATTCTCAAGAATAAATGCAATAGATGAAGAAAGTGTATAACAATTTTCAAACAAAGGGGTGTATGTGGAAGGTGACAATATTGAAAATGGGATGTATTGTAATACAATACTCAATATAATAAGAGTTAATATAACAATTAAATATATTATTTTAATGAAATTGAAATGGATGACTTCTGGTAAATCTCATTCTTCTACTACAACTACTGTTAATAATTTTAATAAATCTCAGGGTTGTTTACATTACCTATAGGAGAGAAAAATCCACAAGCTTCTTTTCTCATTTTTCCAGTTTTATTTTATATAGCAATTTGTAGGAAAATACCATACAGGCAGCAGCAGCCACAACACACTACCATAATGACTAAATGAAACCAACACAGGACAGCAGTGCTCAAAGGCCATCACTATATATGTGTCCCTATGTCTGATGTGAGGGACACAGTGGCTCAGTGGCTAAGACATTGAGCTTGTCGATCAGAAACGTCAGCAGTCCGGAGGTTCGAATCCCTAGTGCCGCATAACGGAGTGAGCTCCCGTTACTTGTCCCAGATTCTGCCAACCTAGCAGTTTGAAAGCATGTAAAAATGCAAGTAGAAAAATAGGAACCACCTTTGGTGGGAAGGTAACAGCATTCCATGCGCCTTCGGCATTTGGTCATGCTGGCCACATGACCACCGAGACATCTTTGGATAGTGCTGGCTCTTCAGATTGGAAACGAAGATGAGCATNGGGCAGCGGTCGTCCTCAGCGGGGGGGGGGATTTGCATCGTGGGAGCCGCCAAGCGCCTTTGCTGCAGACCCGGGCACTTGGCTGCTCCCACGATGCAAATCCCCCCCCCCGCTGAGGACGACCGCTGCCCTGCTGAGCTGCCCAGCTGAGCCTCACCAGGTATAAACTTCACCGCATGTCACTGTATGGAGTACTGTCATTACATGTCAGCATTGTGAGATACTCCATACAAGAAGCAAATCCAGGGGAACTAGCTCTAGTACTAGCTCTACTTTACTGTAAAGTTACAGTAACATAATCTTGCAAATCTGAAAGGTTATATCTCTCACCTTCACCTTTACATTCCAAGAAGGCAGGAAGCTAGGGTCCCTCCTAGGATATCTGCAGTGCCTGCATTTTTCTGCACATTCAGATTTCATATATTAGACCATTATTTAGTCAGTGGCTCTTCCGGTCTTCCAAGGACATTTTATATACCTTTACATCATCATTATTTGTATTTGCTAAGGTAAATTGGGACAGATTCTGAGAAGGACAAGCAAATCAGAAACTAAGTCCAAGGAAAAAAAGATGGATGTAATTCATGTAAACTGATATTTAGCCTTTATTGGAAAGCTACAATAAACCTCTGTATATATGATATCCCAGACAGGATGTAAGACTATAAGATCAAGACTATCATTACAGGGTGCAGATTAATGAAGGTATGTTAAGGAACGAATGAACTTTTAATGTCAAGAGCAATTTGACATTGCAACAGGATAAAAAGACTCCAACTTGCAAAGATTAAGAGCCACAGGTTGAGGCCGGTCCAATATGCGTGGTTTGAAATGGTCTTTTTCAACATTGCTATTCTATATACTATGAGACAGTTATCCACATAATGATTCACCCAGTCCAGCTTTTTATCTTATGCTGTATTCTTATATATGTATGATTTCATGTGTATGTGCATATGCCTATTCAGCATAGTCACTTAAATAATAACTTAAACAAAAACAAAACAAATAATTTGTAAAAAATTATCTTATGTGACATAAGTAGTTAAAAGCTCTATCAGTTCATTGTACGCAATAGAAGATTGAGAACTTTTACTTTTCAACCAAAGACAAATTCTTGTCAATTTTTGAAACCATTTGATTTCACAAGAAACTATATTTTAGGTAATTTTTGGTAAGGCCACACTTGGAATACTGCATTCAGTTTTGGTCACTACAATGTAGAAAAGATGTGGACACTCTAGAAAGAGTGCAGAAAAGAGCAACAAAGAAGATTAGGGGATTGGAGACTAAAACATATGAAGAAGGGTTGCAGGAATTGGGTATGTCTAGTTTAATAGAAGAGGGGAAACACTATAGCAGTGTTCCAATATCTCAGGGGTTGCCACAAAGAAGAGAGAGTTAAATTATTTTCCAAAGCACTCGAGGGTAGAACAAGAAGCAAAGGGTGGAAACTAATCAAGGAGAGAAGCAACTTAGAACTGAGGAGAAATTTCCTGACAGTTACAACAATTAATCAGTGGAACAGCTTGCCTCCAGAAGTTGTGAATGCGCCAACACTGGAAGTCTTTAAGAAGATATTGGATACCCATTTGTCTGAAATAGTATAGGTTTACTGCCTAGGCAGGGGGTTGGACTAGAAAACCTCTAAGTTCCCTTCCAACTCTGCTATTGTATAGGTAGTCCATTTAATAGTCTTAATTCCCAATTGCATTTTCTCAGTACCCATTGTGTGTATTTTCAATTTTGCTCATTATTTTTCATAACAAGTTAGAGACTATAGAGTTCCATAGATTTTAATGAGACATAACTCATTACTAACTGCTAAACAAGTAATCCATGATGTAGTGGTATCTGTTTTTTGTTCAGAAACATATTCTCTATTACACCAGAAAGGATATACAACCATCACAACAACTTTGTACCAACAAGACAAAGAATATACGTCTTTATGAAAAGATATTTACAGCCAGTGAATCAGAATAAAATTTATTCATTGTTTTAGAGGTAAATCTTTTTTTTTCTTTTATTTTGTTGACTTGGACTAAAAGTTCTTTTAAAAAAAATATATAAATTGAGGGAATGGATTTTTCTCCACTGCAGAGGAGAAGAAATAAAGAATCCTGATTCTATAGATACATTTCCATTGAACAACTGCGAGCTTAAAACAAACCCTGTTTGAGGACAACCATGGATATTTATTTTACATTTTAATTATAGACATTTCTGGACTACCTTCAATCATGCATTGGACATTTTGAAAAACAGAAAATTCAAACAGAATATATGTTTACAATAGTTCTATGGATTTAGATTAAATTTATATCTGAACATTGTATACACTTATCACTATATTAGAATGCAAGATTATTTTCATTTTTAATACATTTATTGATTTAACAATACAAAATTAATACAAACTAATATCAAAAAGAAAAATAGAAAAAATACAAAGTGCAAAAAAGGAAAAGAAATGGAAAAAATAAAGAAATAACTCATGATCTTCTGCACAATGAGAATTTTCATTTGTCTTTTTTTTTTCATTTTCTCCCTCAGATGACTTTTATTGGGGACTACAGCCTGAAAAATCAAACCCTGAGACCTAGCTTCATCTTCTTTGAATATACCAATAATTCTGGAGTGCAAGTGTTACTGTTTGCTGGGTTCTTTACTGTCTATACCCTGACACTTTTGGGGAATGGATTGATTATAACCCTCACTTTTATTGATTTAGCCCTTCATACACCCATGTACTTCTTTTTACGAATCTTGTCTTTTCTAGAGATTTTGTACACTTCAGTAACTGTCCCTAAGATATTAGTGAATATTATATCTGAATCAAAAACTATGTCCTTCATAGGTTGTGCTACCCAGATGTATTTTCTTCTTTCTCTTGGAACAGTTGAATGCTACCTATTAGCTGTCATGGCATATGACCGCTGTATGGCAATATGCTTCCCACTACATTATGTCCTGGTTATGAACCAAAATGTCTGTGCTCAAATGGCCATTGCTGCTTGGATCTGTGGAATTATAATGCCACTTGGCAATGTAGTTTGGATCTTTTCTTTGCCCTATTGTGGCCCCAACCAGATTAATCACTTCTTCTGTGATGTTTCACCATTGCTGAGGTTGGCTTGCACTGATACCACAAGGAACGAGATATCCATCCTTGCCCTAAGTGTGCTAATCACACTGTCCCCCTTTCTGCTGGTGTTGATTTCTTATATCCGTATCTTTTTCACTATAGTAAAAATGCCATTAGTTAAAAGTCAAAATAAAGCATTTTCCACTTGCTCATCACATCTCATTGTGGTTACCTTGTTTTATGGCTCTGCCAGTGCAATGTATCTACATCCAAAATCCAACCACACAGAAAATATAGACAAGGTGGTTGCCTTGCTTTATTCTATTATCGTCCCAATGTTGAACCCTATGATTTATAGCCTGAGAAACAAGGAAGTGAAGGATGCCCTAAGAAAATTAATGAAGGCAAAGAACAGGTTACCTTGAGAACCCGGCAAACACTTTTATGGAAAGTTTTTATTTCTTTCATTATTTTATTTTATTTTATTTTGTAAATAAATAAATACTATGTGCTTTATTTTGAGAGATCAATGTTTACAATATAAATTTTCAGTAATTTATGTTCATTTCCATTTCAAATGAGGAAGGTATTAAGGAGTGAGGCACTCTAAATCTTACACAGTATATTCTCCAAATATTCAAACTTGCTTCATTTAAGTGGGGCCTTGCAATCACTTTGTTGTTGAAAACGCAGACATTTTATTATTTATTTTTCAAACAGACAATAAGTGCTTTCCATTTACAATATTTTATGATATTATTTTTATTAGTTAAAGTAGCTCTTATTAGCCAGAGTCTGTTATTCCTTTTTGAAGATCTGCACCATTTCTGAGACTTTTTTTAATTGTTAAACTATAAGGGAGTGTGAATAAACTTTTTAAAAACTTTTGATGGAGAAACATAAGGACAGATATTTGTGATTTTATTTTACTATTTTTAAGTGATCTGTAGCCATGGATTATGGCTTTGGAAAGATTTGCTGTGAAACTGCATGACTTTTATGAACTTTTTGGCCAGAAGCTATTCATTGATTTGGTTTATTTTTTTCAAAAAAAATTTTTAACCAGAAGAGGGAGCTAAAAAGATGGCGAAACATGAATTCAAGCTATTCTTAGAGAAGTATTTGAAAAATATTTATTGAAAACTATTCACTTTATGAATCAATTATGTTCTCAAGAAGTTATAAAAGAACAAAAGAAACAAACTATTCAAGAAATTGGAAGAAAGATGAGTAATTCAGAGTTGCAGTTATGTGTAGAATTATGTTATCCCTTCTTTTTTTTCCTGATAATTAAAACAATAATTGTTTGGACCTTTAATTATCCTGCTGATGTTCTTTTTAAAATGTTTTTCTTTCAAGATTTTCAAATATTTCAATATGTATGATCTGCTAAGTGTAACTCTGTTAGATCATGCCAGACTAATCTTATTGCATTCTTTGATAATGTGACAAAATTAGTGGACCAAAGGAATGCTGTCGATATAGTTTCCTTGGATTTCAGTAATAAAGAAAAAAGGAAAGCAGTACATGCTTCATGGCAATGACAATACTTTCAATAAGTAGACATTAATTGGATCAATATATATTAATTGTATATAACTTTTTTCCTGATGTAATATGTATGATAATCATGGATCATCACCTTTGTTAATCACTTCATGTTCATTGTGTTTGATATTAATATTAGGACTATCAGATATGAGTTGCAAAAAAAAAATTGAGCTATTTTTTTATGTATGTTTTCCCATCTAGTGGTAATCATTCAGATTTTTGCAGCCCACATTTGTTGAAACTAATTAGAATAATCTTATTTAATTAAATTTAAGCATTTGGGGGGTGATAGGAGGAATATATAAAATTTAATAGTGAAAACTTAAATTTGCAAGAATTTTGTGTCCTTGGGTACTTATTTAGTTCTAGGTATGTTTCTCACAATTTTTTTCTTAATACAAATAAAAGCAATAATTCATACCAAAATTGATTGAATATTGAGAATATAGCCATTCTATTAAGAGCAAAGATACAATTTTTATTATTGTGTAATTGAGCAAAAGCACAGAGTTTTATTGAAATTTTGCCCTTTTCACAACAGCCATTTCAAATTCTGCCCTACTTTAACTGACAAAACTTCTTTTTATCACAAAGGAATACTGTTTATTAAATAGGCATTAATTAAGTTGTGCTAGTTTACAGCATAAATAACATTACTCTGAAATGTGAACACTTTTATACACTAAATCCCAGAAGAACTTATCTACTGTTCCAATTAAGCCTACTTTTTCAATTAATTCAAATTGCCTCTGAGAAAATCTTAGTGGATATCTGTCTCCATGTAATGACTGAAAATTTTGAAAGTGGAAACAATTCTCTCTGGGAAAGTGACAGCACTTCTATATTTTTAATAAGTCCTCTGGAGAGTAAGCTTAGATGCTTTGTTTACAAATTATTAATATGGATTTAATACATGAAGATGCAATTTAAAACTTCTTTATTATGTCAGTTGAATAAGTTTAGAATGGTTAATAAAGTCACATTTTTTTCATTGTACTAAAAAAGAAAAAAGTATCTATAGTGTGAAACATTGTATAGAAATACTTCTCCTTCTCCTTTGCTTTTGTGGCTAGGAAAGAACAAGAACCTGAGTAACTATGCTAGTAGTCTGGCACTTTAATCACTACATCTTATTAGGTGACAAATACAGATACATTTAAAGATAGCAATCAAGCCTGGGAAAATAAAGTAAGTAAGCACCATAGCAGCAGAAGTATTTTACATGTCGAGATATCAGAATATGCAACATGAACTGTCACTAAATAAATTACACATTATCCATTTACCCAGGTGGTGCTACATCTCAGATGTCTAATATTGCATCAAAAATCTAATGAAAGAAAGAAACACTAGAGCACTTCTCATATATGCAGACATAGCATATGTAATGTGTATCACTCTATATTGAGATCTTAAAGGATGATAGACTGCATGTAATGTTCAAAAAGAAAGAATATTCTTGTACTTTTTAAGTACAATGCTATATCGGAAAGGGGTCCCTATGGATTTTATTCTGCTAGTTGTTGCTTGTGTCCATTTCAACAATGATAGTCAGCGCTGTCTGTATTTCTGTGGTCATGTGGCCAGCATGATGTCACAGAGTGCTGTATTCTTCCCAACAAAGTGGTACCTATTTATCTAGTTGCATTTGAATATTTTCAACTGTTTAGTGAGCAGGACCTAGTCATAAATGGGTGCTCACCTAGCTGCATGATGCTGGATCTCATACCTGGACTGTCGGCTTTCCAGCCAACAAGCCCAGCATCTTAACCACTGAACCATCATGCCTCTTTGGAGAGGATCACTTTTTAAATTAGGACATTTGATTTGATTTTACAATAAGGGATGTGGTGGAATGTAATCAATTTGTTTGGAAAACATCTCACATCAAGCCTAAAGACTGAGATGATTAGACTAGAGCCCACAAGGCAATATTTATTTAAATCAAATCATCTGGTATTCATACCATTAAAAATATATATTTATGAGGGCCTATCCCCTTCCAATACCATCCTTCCTACAAATATATAAAATTAAGGGATTGGATAGATAATTTTTTAGTTTTCATTTTATTGAAAAATTATCATTATTCAAAACAGTTAGATTCTAAATACAATTATAATGTAAAAACTTTAGTTTGAATTTTGTAATGCCTCAGGTACCTCCTGGCCCAGAAGGGTGAGCGCTCCCCAGGAAGAACCATTGCTACTTCCCAGTGCTCCTCAACTGAGCACCTCTATGTCAAAGACCCTTCAGACATGCTATGATGAAAATATGTTTATTTATATAGTAATTTTACATAGTAATACATATCCCATATATTAATAGGATTCCCAGTCACATGTGATGCGTTATTTGTCAACTTATCAGCACTGGTAAGAATCAGAGACAGCTTTAGAATGAAATGCAACCATGATCTTGTATGCAAGATTTAAAAAAAGGTAATGATGTGATGGTAACATATTTCATTCTCACTGATTGATTGTGCAAGTTATTCGAAAGAGTGATTATTACCAAAGATGCTCTTTCTGTTTTAGACTTTATTTGTTAGTTTGTTTATTAGAATTTGTCAAACAAAAATGAGAACAAGAATAAGAGAATAAAAATACAATGATAAAGACAATAGGCATGTTAGTACCTTTATGTACACCCCCATAGTGACCTCTTAAGTATGAAGTAATGTCCACAGAAGTCAATTTGTGATTGAAATTGTGAAAATTTGTAGTTGAGACAACTAAATCTGGTAAGGCATTCCAGACTTTAACAATTCTATTACAAAAATCATATTTTTAACAATCAAGTGTAGAATTTACACTGAGTTTAAAGCCATTGTTTGTGTGTACATCATTGTGATTAAAACAGAAAAAGTCATTTACAGGTAAAACATATGTTCAATTTTGTATGCACTACCTAGGTCTGACCACAAGTGATGCAGTTCTAAATTATCCAAACTGAAAATTTTGAGCCTAATAGCATAAGGAATTCTATTGTGTACAAAAGAATGCAAGATTTTTCTCGTGAAATACTTCTGAACCTGGTCAATTGTACTGATGTCAGATATAGGGTGGGGGGTTCCAAACACTTGAACAATATTCTAAAATTGGTCTAGCATAAGTTTTATAATTTCTAATAAGCAACACAATGTTTCCAGAAAAAAAGGTTCATAAAATTAAGTTTTCAACTTTTAATGCTTTTTTAGCAATGCTAAAAAATAACTTTGGAGCATAACTCATCAGAGATAAGTACACCTAGATCCTTAACCAAATTAACATTAGCAATGTTTTCAATTGATATTCCATTTAAACAATGGCATATCGTCAGAGTAATTAATCCGGTCATGGTAGAATTAAGGCTACCTCTCATGTTGGGGAAAACCCACCCAGTGTTTCATAACAGTTTACTCAAACCGGTGACCACCACTGGGCTGCATAATCTTCCAACACCACCATCTCCGGTGCAGGTTGATGGTGAACGCAATTATGAAATCGAAGAGATAGTAGATTCCCGTCATCATCATGGCACTTTACAGTATTTAGTAGTTTGGAAGAGATAGCCATTTACAGGCGCATCGTGGGTGAGGTCATCTGAGGTGCGCGCACCATGCCTGATCACTTGATTCCATCGTCGATACCCTGATAAACCTATAGAGGATACTGCTAATAGCACTTTTTGTCTTCCAGAATCCTCTCCACTGGTAGTGGGTGGCATGTCAGCCCTCAGGCTGACATCCAGGGGGAACCTGTCCATCACCATGCCTACTCAACCATGCTTATACACCACTAACGGTGCCACAATGATGTTGCCTCTCCAATGTCGATTGAGCCTGTAGCTGCATGTGGCTCTTCTACTCGGGTGCAACTGCCTACT